TGTATTTATTAAAAGATAATTAGAATATATATATATATATATTCATAATTTATAAAGTAATTAATAAATGTTGTAGTGAGGATCACTTTTAAAAGTATAAGTAAATTGCACGTATATAAATAATAATTACAAAAGTTAACGTAACACAATTGAAAACATAAACAAATTATAACGATGTGGATGATGTTATATAAATCTAAAATATGATTTGTTGAAAAAGTTTTTATGTATATTAATGGGCAAAGTTTCCTTCTCTTAAGTGGGACACATTTGGTGTATTTATTTTGCTTTTGCTTGTTGATAAATTGTAAAATATAAAGAATAAGAGTAAATTAGGGTTTTCATCCGATATGGTTTGTTAAAAATTGCAATTTTTTTTTCTGGTTTAAAATTGTAGTTTTTGTTTTTATGATTTGTAATTCATTGTTATTTTTGTCCTTACAATTTAATGTTTTTTATTTTGGTCTCTATGGTTTACAATTTTATATTGTTTTAGCCCCTTATACTTTAAGATAGTATTTAACATAACAACAAAAATAGCAATATAATGCAAACCATAAGGATAAAAATTAAAATTCCTAAAACTCGAGGACGAAAAATGAAATTATTAACAAATCAGACGAACAAAAATGGTAATTTACTCTAAAAATAACTTTTAGACGATAATTCTTATTGTTCCTAAACCATTTTTAGTAAATTTGTACGATGAATTTTGGTTGGTCTTCCCTATGTATGTTGTGCAAGAAAAGCAATTCAAAAATATATTATTAATTTATGTTAATTTTAAAAGATTAATAGAAGTTTGAATTTACGGGTGTTTGAGATTATTTATTCGAAACAACTTATTTTTTCTGTAAAAGTTCTTATCAATTTATTATAAGTTAGAACGGTTTAATTTATTTAAAAACTTCTTATTACCGGCTTGATACCGGTATAAGTTGTTTATCCAAACACTTAAAAATGTATGTTACTGGTGTCGGACCAAAATAAGTGAAATAAAACATGTAAAATGAGGATGCATAAATTAGGAGAAAATTTAAAAATGTGAGAGATGCATGCAGTATGATATGTAGAACACTTTGCAGCGGTTAATACAGCAGAGATGCGTGGCGTCTCACCTGCAAGATAGCGGCTGAGCCGGCCACTTACGTTCATCTCTCATTGAAACCGGCAGGAAGTGCAGGAAGAAGTAATCACTCCAATCCAATTTGGCACCTTTTTCCACCCCAAGACGGCTGCCGTAGCCCTCGTAAGTGGTGGGGGAGTTGGCATACTCCTGCTTCATGTGTAACGGAAGATGGAAGAACTCCCGCCAGATCCTCCTTGTCGACTCCATGAGATGGTGGCTGACACCGTGGTTAATGACCTGAAAGAAGCCCCACTGGCGGCTGGCGTCGGAGATGAGATCCAAGGTCGTTTTGCGTAAGGTAGGGTCATCAGAGTCGAGGTTGGCAAGATCAATGACCGGAATATTGGCATCTATTGGCTGAAGGTCAAGGAGGGATGGCCGATCGTAGATGGGCTTTACATAACACTCCGGAATAGCGTTTATTCCGCTGTCTGAGAGTGATTGCACTCGCACCACCGGTTCCGGCCAGCTTTGCAAGGTGCTTACCATCTCTCACACTGTGGGTGTTTTGTGGTGGGGAGAAATGGTGGTGAGTGAAGAAAAAAGTGGTGAGTTTAGGAAGATATATATAGAAACAAAGCAATTCCTGAAGATCTTTCTCTTTCTATATATATGTATGTATGTGTATATATATATATATTGTATTCTATATGCAGCCTCTTTCTTGTGGGTGGGGATGGTGGGCCGACAAAAGATATATGAATTAATTTATGGCCTCAGACCTAAAGATTTGGGTAGAACCATCTCACAACTTTGTGCAATGAGTAACACGTGATGAAACACTATATATATATATATATATATATATATATATAAATTATTCGATAAAGGAAGCTTCTGTTTGTGTGAATATGTGTGAACGGAGCCACTACTGACAACATGGAAGGTTTCCTGTGAGCACTTGTGTAGTTGTATTTACGTGTGTAGTTGTATTTACGTGCTTGTAGGGTATGCTCTATTTTGGGCATATAATCACTACTCATATTACATTTTCTATCTATCTATATATATTATATATATATATATATATATGAATTATTATGCAACCTTTTACATTTGTACAACCAATACAACTTAATCTCAACCGTCCATTTAATTTGATGAATATGTTATTTCATAGAAATTTTGATTGTTTCATAATATAAAATATTGATCATAATTAATGAACCATATTCATCTTCCATAAATATTTAAATCATAATAAATGAACTCTCATCATTTTCATAAATATCTCAATTAATTGGGTTAGATTGTTTGTACAAATGGACATGGTTGCATTTGAAATATATCCTATACATATATAGAGGAGCGATCAAATGAAAACCACCATCATTTGTACAAACCGTACAAACCACCCTCATACATCGATTTCATTGTTTAATCTTATGAAATTTTTTCATGAAATTGTTTAATCTTGTGAAATTGTTTCATATAAGACTTTTTTGATGAATTTGTTTCATATATGGTTACGAAATTGTTTCATATGATATTTAATAAAATTTTAATGAAACTGTTTCATGTATTTCTCTAAAATTAAAATAATGAAGATAATAATATCCATGATTAACACCCTCCACAATAAAAATGGTTAATCAACCACTCATAATTACAAAAAAAATAAACAAAATGAAAAATTATGATTGGTTGAATGTGGTTTTCACGGTTTGTACAAATTGGGTGGTTTTTATTTGAACGTTCCCCTATATATAGATATATATATATATAGGGTATATTTCTTTTACAACCTTGTGTATTTGTACAACGCTTGCAACCCAATTAATTGAGATATTTATAGAAATGATGGGAATATATTTATTATGATTTGAATATTTATAGAATATGAATAGAGTTCATTAATTATGATTAATACTTTATATTAGGAAACAATCAAAACTTTTATGAAATCACATATTTATCAAATCAAATGGACGGTTGATATTGGGTTGTATTGGTTGCACAAATGTCAAAGGTTGTATAAAAACCAACCTCTCTCTCTCTATATATATATATATAGACTTGGGATCATATGAGACCAAGTGTTTTTCGCGAGACCAATTCTCACCCTTTGGATTAGATTTACAATATGAACATTCATAATCACAAAATTGCCACGATACTTCTCAATAATCACAAAATTGTCACCGTGTAACTTTAGACCATTAGATCATTAGCTTATAAAGTTGATCAATGAATATAAATTGGTTTTACGGGTCTCACGAAAAAAACTTTGGTCTCATGTCCATTTAATTTGATGAATATGTGATTTTATAAAAGTTCTATTGTTTTCTAGTATAAGGTATTAATCATAATTAATGAACTTTATTAATCTTCCATAAAATATTCAATTGATTGGTTGCATTGGTTGTACAAATATGATGGGTTGCATTGGTTGTACAAATATGATAGGTTGCTTATGAAACGTCCTCTATATAGGGTTCATGTGAGACCAAGAGTTTTTTGTGAGACTCGTAAGACCAATTTACGTTCATTGATCAACTTTATAAGCTAATGATCTAGTGGTCTAAAATTGCATGGTGGCAATTTTATGATTATTGAGAAGTCCTGTGGCGTTTGTGAATATTCAGATATGACGATTGTAGATCTAATCCAAGGGTTGAGAATTGGTCTTACGGGTCTCACGAAAAGCTCTTAGTCTCACATGATCCCAAGGGTTGAGAATTGGTCTTACGGGTCTCACGAAAAACCTTTGGTCTCACATGATCACAAGTCTATATATATATATATATATATATATAGAGAGAGAGAGAGAGAGAGAGAGAAAGAGAGAGAGAGAGAGAGAGTCGGGTTCAGATGAAAACAGTACATATTTAAGAGAATAAGAAAGAGTTAAATCACATATGATTTTACATTATATCACGTACAGAATCACGTGTGATTCACATGACTTTGTCCCGCGACTTGAGGACACGGCCAAAGTTCTTCCGCACACCTTTTTTTGACCGTTAATGCAAAATCACATGTGATTTTGCATGTGATTTGATCGTTTTTGTATGTTTTTTTAAACAATTAACATTCTCATTTAATCATTCTCTCTATATATAATATGTCTATATAGTATATTTACATAATTGGGATCAGATAAGAACTCCAAAACCCGTAGGAATCATCCAGAATCGTTGGATGAAGCACGCTTCTTGATCTGACAATGCTGATGAGCGTGGTGTTATTTAGGTAATTAAGGAAAACTTCGTTGACAAAGTTGTTGTAGGCACAACAGAGAGGTTATCATAGCAACTTGACCTTAGTCAGACTACTTGACACACCTTAAGTACATGTTAACATAAGTTAATATGAAAACATTCAACCTTATAATATACATTAATATACCATAATAATTCAAAAATTTTGTGAAAATATGTTAAAATACCTCACAATCTTAACATATATTAACATGAAAACATTAACATATTGTAACATGCAATCCTAACACATCTTAAGGCAATTTTAACAAACTTTAACTCAGTCTAACACATATTAACCATGAAAGTATTAACATAAATACCTTATTATACGCTAATATGGTTCCTATATATGTATAGACTTGGAATCATGAAAGTATTAATATACCTTACATTAACCATGAAAGTATTAACATATATATGTATAGACTTGGAATCATGTGAGACCAAAGGTTTTTCGTGAGACCCGTAAAACCAATTCTCAACCTTTGGATTAGATTTACAATATGAACATTCATAATCACAAAATTTGCCACGAGACTTCTCAATAATCACAAAATTGTCACCGTACAACTTTAGACCATTAGATCATTAGCTTATAAAGTTGATCAATAAACATAAATTGGTCTTATGGGTCTCATGAAAAACCCTTGGTCTCACATGAACTCAACCCTATATATATATATATATAGAGAGAGAGAGAGAGAGGAGAGAGAGAGAGAGAGAGAAAGATTGGTTTAAGTGAGGACCAACTTGTTTTTATGAGACTCGTAAGGCCACAAAATAACAATTAATCTCCATAGCAAAAAATTGTGAAGGTACAAAAAACATTGAAGGTTCAGTTGTATGGTGTCGCAAAAACAGGTTGATCTCATAAGATCCCTAATATGTATGTACATACATACAAACATACACACACACACACACACACACACACACATATATATATATATATATATATAAAGAGAGAGAGTCTGGTTTAAATGTTAACCAAGTTTATGGTGTTAACTTTGTTAACAATTTTCAACCAATGACAATCCATCTTATATATAGGTTCATAGTCATCTTATAATTTAATGACAAGGGTAAATGTGTAATTTTCTTTTTTATGTAATTCACATATCATTAATTGGGAGTTACAAAATCAAAAATCTCATGATTTTTGTTAATTTAGTATTGATCTTGTTTTTTTATAATATTTATTTTTCTATCTATAATGTTTTTGAATTTGTGATTGGTAGAGGAGACCCGGTAATAAAGTTTTCGGTATTGTTCAAGCTATTATGGATTAACACATTATTCATAATGAACGAACTATTGTTCATAAGTGTTCATATGTTCATATGTACACCAGCTGCATATCTCAACATTGGCAAGCTCCAGAATGTGTTCATAATGAATGAACTATTGTTCACAAGTTGTTCATATTATACACTAGCTGCATATTTCAACATTGGTTTGGTCATGAATATGTTCATAATGAATGAACTATTGTTCACAAGTGTTCATATATACACTAGCTGCATATCTTAACATTGACTCGTTCCTGAATGAGTTCATAATGAACGAACTATTGTTCACAAGTTGTTCATATTATGTTCATACATGTTTGTTTTTATTTCCTTTCATGTAGCATCTATTCTTATTATGTTCATATTGTGTCCATATATGCTATGCAGTCCAAATTCATATATATATATATATGTGTGTGTGTGTGTGTGTGTGTGTGTGTTCATATGGTTCTTACATTAACATAAATAAATTACAAAAATCATGAGATTTTTTTTTTGATTTTGTAACTCCCAATTAATAATATGATATGGGAGTTATATAAAAGAATTACATAAATACCCTTTTCCACTTAGTTCACATATGTTTGTGAAATTGTAAATTTAAAAAATTAAAATTTTAATATGATAAATCACAACCGTTTATTGTAAGAATCAATATCCAAGATTGGTTAACAAAGTTAACACAATAAACTTGGTTAACATTTGAACCATCCCCTATATATGTATATATATATATGGGGTCATTCAAGGGAGAGCTTAGTTGTTTGTAATAACCGTGATATTCAATCTCAACCACATATCAAATGATAAATTATGAAACTAATAATTTGATAATTTGACTTAAAACTTTAATTAAAGGGCATTTTAGGTATTTTAAATTTTTATCTCTCCCACTTCTCTCTCCGGCCTCCAATAAACCTTATTCCGACGAACAACAAGTAAACACAACATACATAATGTGATACCTCAAAACTTCGACATTGTTAAGAAATGATACATATAAATGATCTTCATTGTGATACCTAAAATGCATTGCGATACCACTATGATACCAAACACG